TAAATTTAATTTATTTATTAATTTTATATATACAATATGGATGTCAAATCGAAGATCATCAAAAGATGATTAATTTGATATATTATATATGTAAAACCGATAAGAAATACAAAAATTATCTACTTTTGAAATACATTTATAAATCAATAACTTATTGAAGGAAGCAAATCAAAATTTAAGGATATATTAGTCACTTAGTGTCTCACTATATAAAATTACAAATAATTAAAGGGTTATATTAGTAAAAGTGATATTAAAATACCTAAGTTAGCTAAGTAATATTTATGGAATACCCGAACCTAGATTATTAATTATTAATATATTAATATTATTTGTCCAAACCTAATTACGAAGCATGATTCTTCGCCAAATAGGATTCCGAAGCACCAGAAGCAGCCACGTAGGCTCAGCGCATTCTGCAATTATATATAGGGAGGATTTTTGTATGTCTCTCCCCCGAAAGAGCATATTGGGCCCATTCCTCAATTCAAATCCTCTCAAATTCAGATTGAAGGTAGCGTAAGTGGGCTGCCCAATTGCTTAGTCTTTAATGTCACTTTTGGGTTAATGAGTTAACAATTGGACTTGAACTTGAGCCGGTATGCTACGCTTGATAATTGATCACACAATGCTTCGTGTTCAGAAAATACTCCAATGAACTGAAAATAAATATAAAATAATCAAAGCAAATGAATCCATCTAAATAATGAATAAGTCGAAAATTATATAAGTGCGATAAATTAAGCATATAAAAATACGCTAATAAATAAATAAAGTACACACTTTTTCCGACCAATCAAATCTCCCCAAACCTAAACTGTTGCTTGTCCCCAAGCAACTAAGAACTATAAGCACATAGATGGACAAGAAAACAAGCACGTGGAATATTTGCTCAGGACCTCACAATTCTCACATAAGTTCACAGCTCAAACAACTCAAATCAATTTATTCGGACTCAAGATGAAATCATTCTAAGAACGCGAACACATCAAGTATCAATCCAAGTGACCACCATAGTTTGTCAATCTTTATAACGAATGCACCGATCAATGCAACTAATGACACTCGTCTCTTTGCTAACAAGTCCAGTTTCCTTCCATTTCTAGCCGAAGTCTAAATGTCTCATTCTCCAAACTCTTTTTTTTTCTTTTTTCTTTTTTAAAGTAGGGAACGGCAGCTCCGTCACAACCCGCGAGTTTTAGCCTTTCGTGCTCATCTAGATATGAAAATTATTGGAATTATACACTAGAGCCTCCACGGATTGGCAGCTGTTGCAGCCCAAGACTCTTTTTTTTTTTTTTGTTGCCAAAACGGCTTTTCAACTCCACCAATTATTCCTCCATCCACTTTATTCTTTTTTTTTTTCCACTATGAGACATATAAACCCCAACTTCAACTTCAAGTCCCCAAACTTAATCAACATTGATTAAAGCAATCACAAGTACATCTCAACAATACAAATCGTCTCAAAACCAACTCACCATAAATAAATCACAAAAATATCAACCATCATGCCTTTGTCCCCAAAATAAAAACACCTTAAGAATTTAACCAAATAAAATTAACTTAAGCCATTTAAACTAGCACAATAACTCCAAATTGACTCTCATATCATCATCGCAAAATTCCACGTATGCAATCTCATGCTCAAACACAAGCAAATAACATGCAAACAATATAAGAACTCAAACTCTAAGGGCCAAAAATATAATCACATAATTAATCATGAATGCTCACCAAGAAACCACCTCCCCAAACTTAGAGTTTGCATATATCATCGACACTCAAATATCATAAATGAACAACAATGGAGGTAAAAAAAAACGAGTTCACCTCAGTCGATGCGAAGAAGGTCGCCGAACCATGCACACCATTGGGTTGCCTCCCAATAAGCGCCTCTTTTTGTTGTCGTTGGCCCGACTTATTGCTCATTTTTCATCAAAGGATCCATGGTGGCTTCCAAGGTGGCCTCAAGGGAGCCACAAATCTGAGCACACCATGCTTGACGACATCCCATATCCTCGGTGTTGGGTGCTTCACCGGATCTTTCCTCCATGGCACTGATTCCTCATGTATGTATGTCAACCCATGCTCAATCACGGTCACCGTCTCATCAAACTCCCATTTGCACCTTTCGTTCTGCTCGATCGTCTCAAGAGGCTGGATATTAAGGCTCAAGACATGCTTCAGTGCATCTTTACTTAGTACCCACTTCATATTGGAAGAGACAAGACAAGGTTCAGCTTCTATCGGCACAAGAGCGGGGAGAACGGTTCTCTTTTTGGCTCCAGCAGGTCGAGTACTGGGTCCAGCAAGTCGAGTATGGGGTACCCCAGTACTGTGTTGCTTCGACTCTGCTTTCTCTATATGCGTGATTTTTTCGTTCTTCGGCTCGTATGTGCACTCTTCAGATTCTTCGGGGTCCTCGCTGCAGGAATGGGTGACGCTTAAACTCATTGGAATCATTTTGATCCGACACACTAGTCGGTTCATTTGTTCCGCCAATTTGCTCATTTGGCCTTGCAAATTCTTTATTCGCATCCCTTGGCTCTCGAGGCTCGTCTCAACACTTTGCTGAAAGTTAAGGGTGTTAGTCGTCAACTCTATAATCATATCCTCAAGTGACGGACCAAGATCTCTTTCAATTAATGGCTCACAGTACTCTTGCCGAAATTTCAACGAGTTCAACGCCAATGCCTCTACCATATCCTCCACAGACGGGCTGGGATCAATTGGTGGCTCGGAGTACCCATAGAAAGAGTTCGAGTGCTCTCTCAAGTGGTATCCATACTCATCGGTATAGAAGTAGTCTTGCTCGTTCCTTTGCCAACCACTAGGTCCTCTTACGTCTCGATCTCCATTCCACGGGCCTCGTACTTCTCTCTCATACTGGTAAGGTGTCTAGTGGGTATAAAAATCGTGATAATAGGCTGCCATCTCGAAAAATTTCCGTCAAGCTCGATAAAATCCGATAAAATCGCCCTAAGACAAGTTATCTCGCGAGTATGGGGCGAACAATTCTGTCCAGCAGAGTATGGGGGTACCCAGTATTCTGCAAGAAAACAAAAAAGAAGAAAAAAAAAGGAAGAAGGGGTTAAAAGATGATAGAAATAAAATTCTAAATAAAATAAAATAAAACAAAATAATTCAATTAGTACTTGAAAATCACAATTCAATAACGACACTCCCCAGCAACGGCGCCAAAATTTGACCGCGCGTCGCAACGCGACAAAATTAAATTTATATTTTCCTTAACTAACCTCTACTAACTAGTAGTAGTGGCGAGCAAGGGTCAAACCCACAGGGAGCGTGAATCAAATTGTGATATTTTTGTAGTAATTGAAATTATAAAAGCAATAAAATAGGGGGATTTTGAATTAATAACTAATCTATCTAAGAATGAAATCAAAACAATAAAAATAAAAATAAAATAAAACAAATAAGAGAAATATCTAATTCACGGTTCCATCTACACCCTCGATTGACTCGTCTAATCAACTTTGGTATCAAATCTCGCTATCTATGGAATTACTAGCCCTAGGTAACGCCACGGGCCGTTACCCGACTTTTTCCTTATTTTTAATCTAACCGCGAGACGCTCTACGATTAAATCTGACCCCTTGAACAGTCTAGGAAACGCTTCCTAAATTTAATTCAATTAGCCACTTTACGATTTAGAAAAATAGGCTAGGCTAAGTAGTGACGCGTTCGTTCACTTTAATAGCCCGTGTTATCCCCCGTAGTTACCATCTTCCGGATACCAATTGCGAATTAAACACATCAACAATTACGGATTGAAGGCCTAATTCAGGTGTAGATATGTAAAGCCTAATCTAGGTGATCAATCTAAATAAGACTCAACACATCATGGTTAGTTATTCAAAATAACACAAACAATTCCAAAAACATAACTCAATAATCAACAACGAAAATTAATCAAACATCATCAAGTCGTAGGGTTCAACTTCCCCGGAACTAGAAATAAAACTACTCTAGCATAATAAATAAAAATAAAAAGATAAAAGAGAGAGATTAATTATCTCCCTCGTGTACGGGTGCGGCCTCCCTTCGCGATCTATCGGCTTCCTCGCGTGTCCTCTTGAATCTGTACGCTTTTTCTCTCTTTGCGTGTGTCTGGCGGCTCAAAAATAAATCCTCCTCTCAATGAATGATGGCGTAAAAATATAATTCCTAATGTTGCGTCCCTTGAGCCGTGGTGGCTTCGGGTTCTCTTTTCCTCCCTTGGAAAATAATTCCTTATTTTTGTATGTCTATCCCCCGAAAGAGCATATTGGGCCCATTCCTCAATTCAAATCCTCTCAAATTCAGATTGAAGGTAGCGTAAGTGGGCTGCCCAATTGCTTAGTCTTTAATGTCACTTTTGGGTTAATGAGTTAACAATTGGACTTGAACTTGAGCTGGTATGCTACGCTCGATAATCGATCGCACAATGCTTCGTGTTCAGAAAATACTCCAATGAACTGAAAATAAATATAAAATAATCAAAGCAAATGAATCCATCTAAATAATGAATAAGTCGAAAAATATATAAGAGCGATAAAATTAAGCATATAAAAATACGCTAATAAATAAATAAAGTACACACTTTTTCCGACCAATCACCCGCGACTGCCTATTGCGTAGCCAAGATGAAGACACGCCTCGAACCAATCCGAACAAATCGACCCGCTCTTCGGTTGTAAGTATGAGTATGAGTTTTTTGTTTGGAGATGACCTAACAGTTAATCGTATCACATTTTTTAAAATAAATTGTAATTAACAAAAAAAAAAATCGTTTTGAACCATTATAATTATCATTAATCATGGGTTTGAGTATGAGTATGAGCCTCAAACAAATCAACCCTGCAAAATTGGTTTGAGTATGAGTTTTTTGTTTGTAGATTACCTAACAATTAATCATACTTCATTTTTTAAAATTAATTATACTTAATAAAAAAACTCATTTTGAACCATTATAATTATAAATAATCATATCATATTTAGATAATTTTGTAAAAAAAACCTATCCCCAAATTGCCTCCCTCAAATTGCCGCTCGTCTTCCTCGGCGAAATCGATGTTCTGACCGGTGGTCACCCTCTGCGGCTCGCCCTTCTCCCTGATTTTGCGCGTCTCTAGCGGCCTGGTGGTCCTCCTTTCTCCGTTCGTGATGGTGGCTACTGGGTTTTGGTCGGGCTTCCCTTCTCTAGATAAGGTCTCGCGGATTTCGGTCGCCGGCTTCCCGTAGCTGCAGCAACGTTAGGTGATGTGTGGGTTGGGAAGTGGGGCGAGGTTCAGGCGGCTCATGGTGCTCACGTCGTGGAGGTTTGAGTGGGGAGGTCGACCTGCTCTTCTCTCCCCATTTCGTCTTTGTTGGGTTCAGGAAAGTTGGCGGTGTACTTGGCTAGTGGTGTTAGCCGATAGAGGGGTGTTGGTTTCCTTCAACTGGGGCCGAATCTTTTTTCGGGTTTGGTTCTGGGTTTGGTTTCAGCTTCAGCTAGGCGTTTTGACAATTTCAGTTGCGGTTATTGGGCCTTTGCTTTTCTCATTGAAATGATTGTTCATCTGTTGGTTCGACTCGATCTTTCTGCCGCAGAAGGGCTTCGTTTGTTGATTGCTTAGGTTCTTTTGCTTTAGTTTGTTTGTGTTTTGCGTTGTTAGGTAGGATTTGTGTTTTGGTCTGGGCCGTTGACCTTTGTGTAGCCCGATTGTGAGTGAGTATTACTCTGGTGGGGCCGTTTTTCTCTCATTCTCCTCTTGGGAGCTTTTAAGTGTCTGTAGTGTGTTGAGCTCTTGTTTGTTGTCGAGTGGATTCTAGCGTTGCTAGTTTCAGTTTTAGGTGGTCTTCTGACCTGTCCTCCCAGTTTATTCAGCCTGAGGCTGTACTTTTGTACTTTTGTGCATTTATATATAAAACTCTCAGTGATTTTGAAAAAAAAAAGGGAAATTCTATTGGAAGACCTAACTTTTAGTATATGTATTAATATAAGGCCTGAATTTTATACTTTTCAACTGAAGGCTTACATTTTAGGTTATTCTCACTTTAAGGCTTACTTTTGAGTTAACTTTTCATTATAAGGCCCAACTAACTTTACTTTTTTTTTCATATAAATATGTAAAATAATTATTTTATGAATAAAAATTTTATTATTATTATTATTATTATTATTATTATTATTATTATTATTATTATTATTACTATTATTATATTTTACATACTCATAATAAAAAATAATAAATATCTTTAGTAAAATTATAATAATAAAATAAAACTATATAAATTACAATAATAAAACATTGGAATTACAATGATGAGAAACTAAGATAGTAAAATTATATTAATAAAAAATGAAACTATATAAACATCTATTTTCAATGTTGTAATTTTTCATTGTTAAACTTTTTGCATATTATTGTAATTTATATAGTTTCATTTTTTATTAATACAATTTTACTACAGATATTTATTAATTTATTTTTCTCATAAGTATATAAAATATAAATTACAAATAATAATAATGATAATAATAATAATAATAATAATAATATTTTTATTCACATAATAGTTGTTTTACATATTTATATGAAAAAATAAAGTTAGTAGAGTCTTATAATGAAAAGTTAACTAAAAAGTAAGCCTTAAAGTGAGAATAATCTAAAATGTAAGTCTTCTTTTGAAAAAGTATAAAATTAAGACCTTAAATTAATACATATACTAAAAATTAAGCCTTCTAATAAAATTTTCAGAAAAAAAAAACCATTATATTTGTATCAAGGATGCTTTAAATTATTGCAGGTCCTCCTTAGAGATGTTAAACGGGCTAGTCCTAGCGGTTACGGGCTAGCCCTAGCGATCTTCGAGCTAAACAGTCCGGGCTTAAAAAGCCCGGATTTAAACGAGCTGCCAATAAAAGGACCTAACCCTAACCAAGCGGGCTTCGGGCTAAACGGGGGCTTTAATATGTATATTCAATGATTGATTAATTGGAATAATACTATCTATATTCTAGAATAGAATTCTAATAGAATATTAGAATCTAATATCTTAGTTAGAAAAAAAGGAAATAAGCGGGTAGCGGGAATCAGCCTAGCTCCCTTGAAAAAAAAAAGGAACTACCTTGGCGAGAAACAGCCTCAAATTGAGCTTTTACCTCTCCAACGGTAGGTAGACCAAATAATACAATGCAAGCAAAAGTTCCTAGATTCATGGAGATATAGAACGTCATATAAATTCGTCATGCTTGCATATCCATGGTTTGAGTCTCCAACAATTATTCCAATAATTACATAATCCGATTTGACCTATGGACGAATATGCAAGCATACGTTTCATGCTTGTTTGAGTAATAGCAATGATATTTCCGAAGGGGGGAGCACTAATCCTTTCAATCTTATACGAAATGGGTGGAGTAACAGAAAATATAGCTAGAAGGGTATCTTAAAAAAAATCTAAGAAAAACTTAAAGTTGAATGCTCGCAATTGAAAGGCATTTTGCCAACTTTTGCATCTATATGCAATGGAAAAAGTCAGATCAGAATGACGATCCTACAAAGACAAAGATCTAATTTCAGTGATTACCTTTTGCTGATCTCATGTATTTATGCTCGTCGTGTCCTTTATATGGACATCAGAGGCCGCGGGTCTATTCCGTTGACCCGTACGGACGAGAATTTGACTCCACGAGAAATTGAAGAAAAAGCCCCATAGAGACAATACATAAAGATCTGTCTCTGGAGCCTATCCGAACTCAATTTATTTTTTCACGCCTTTTGGAAAGAGCCGCTAAATTAAGTCTAGCAAAAAATTTGATTCTTTTTTATCTTCATATGGGATATTTAAGGGGGTTATACCATCTCACAGTCGATTGGCGAAGTGTTAGGCCGAGCTGGATTTGAACCAGCGTAGACATATTGCCAACGAATTTACAATCCGCACCTGCATGTGCATGCGGGAGCGATTGCGCCAGCCTGCCCTGAATAATCCTCCTTTTGCTGAATTATTGCCAATATAATCATAAAAAGCTAAGGGCATGATTGTTTATAAAATATTTCATCCAAAATATTTCATTTTGGTTAACTATAGTTAAAGTTGATAAAGTAGTGTGGTTAATTATTAGTGGGATTTAAAAAATATATTAAAATAATATTTAAAATAAAATAATTAAAATTGATTTGATATAAAGTAGGAGATAAATGATTGAAAATAATTGGTAGTTAAAATTATGTGAGTGGATGAATAGTAAATTAAAGTTGATGTGATGTAAGAATGATTGGTTTGTATTATTTAATTATATGAATAATATTAAAGATAGTAAGGTTGAGTTAAAGTTGAGTTAGATTTTGAATTGAAATTTTTTGAGGTGAAATATTTTGTAAACAATCACCCCCTAATTTTTCAAGAATTTTGGACCAGGCTTCTGATAAACTTTGATTTTCTGCTAGCCCGGCACTAACTCTTCGATATATCTCTTGCTGGAAGTAACCCTGATCCCATTGATAACGAGTGGGGCCAAATAATTCAATAGGGGTTGAATCAAAAGAAAATACCATTTTGGAGTTTTATCAACAATTTGCCTGTGTAGGTGGGGATCCGGTATTTTTCTGAATCCTTATGTAAGGAATTTGTTGTTACATAGAAATTAACAACAACCAAATTGAAGTATATTTTAAGTAAATGTAAATATTTAGTGACGGAAAGCTTGTATATTATTTCTGGGAATGTAATTTTTAGCAGTGTGATATTCTTGTGTGTTTGGGAAATTCTCTATTTCCCTTTTATATTTACATGCCATATTTATCTGTACAATAATCATTACATTTGAATGGTCAAAGGCGGTCTTTGACGGCTCCTCTTGTTAGCTTGCCACTTGGATAAGCGTAATGATGAATTATGCTGAGTTGTCACCGCCTTACCATGCTGAGTTGGCATGTTATAGATATCGGTCCACCTAGTTATAACCGATATGTCGTGGCTGTCATGTAGTAACCGACATGTGTTGACCGACATGTGCTGACCGACATGTGATATCGGTCAGCTTAGTAAGGATGTCGGTTTCCGCTGAATCTTTCATTGGGCAATCATCTCTGAAGCTGGTGGAAATGTCTCATGCTCGTATGAACTCTAATCATCATCATATTGGTCTCGATCAACGGATTAGGGTTGCTTAACTTGGCTTACAGAAAATGATATCAACAGAATTACAAAAGAAGTTCTTTCAACAACAATGTGAATTAGGAAGGATTGGTCGACGATTTTTTCGTTTTTCAAACTTGTATAGAATTTTTTGATTCGTCATTCCTATTCATAAATTGTTCATTAGAATCGACATTCTCTATATAACCCCAACGTTTCTACGAAGGGACGAAATTCACTGTCCCTTCCAGAAGTCTTTCTGCTGAGCATGCCATGATGTTGTTAAGATCTCGTATAGGCCTTTATGACCCTGGCCTGTAAATGGGCCTTTATGGGCTTCTAAAATATCTTTTAGGCCATGACCGATGCCCCAGTTAGTCCTATACATGTGGCCCGTTATCAGAAACAAAATAGCAATAGCTAAATGATGGTGTGCAATATCGGTCAACCATAGACCCCCAGTTACTGGATCTAATCCTCCACAAAAAGTAAGAAATTCCGCATATTTTGACCAATTCAAGATGTAGAATCTATGCTGAATAACCATTTAGCGGGGCTACTAGGACTTGGGTCTCTCTCTTGGGCGGGGCATCAGGTGCATGTATCTTTACCAATTAACCAATTTCTAAACGTTGGAGTCGATCCTAAAGAGGTACCGCTCCCTCATGAATTTATCTTGAATTGCGATCTTTTGGCTCAACTTTATCCAATATCGTGATGCATGACTACTTAACAGGAGGATTCACTGCAAATACTAGCTTGGCTCATTATTGCCGAGATAATGGATTACTTCTTCACATTCACCGTGCAATGCATGCAGTTATTGATAGAATATATAAGAACAGTAAAGATGTAGCATTCTTATTGAGACTCATAAGAAAGAAAGTCGATTTATGGATGGAATAAAAAATGCAGGGCTCTCAGCCACATGGATAGTTCAATGTGCTCATCGGCGCCTGACCCTGAGATGTGGATCATCCAAGGCACATTAGCATGGAGGAGTTATTAAAAAGTGTTGTTTACGGTACATAAAATATTCAGCCAAAGCAGCTTCGGCACCCTTTAGCAGGACCGCTGCTCGTTGCATACCTTGATCTATTACTGTACGAATAGCCCGTCGGGCCGAAGAAGGAATGGAACTCCATCATTCTCAAACGGACTGCCGGTACCCTTGGATTCAAGGGTCCGAGAAAAAGGACACCCTTACACATTGTATATGAACACATACTACAAACTCTTAAATTAAAATTTGTTTTAAAAGAAAAAGATATTCGCATTATTACTTACAATTACCATTTCACTACTTATTTTGTACGCTTTGGAATTTTTTACGATATTATATCAGTATAAATTCTATTACTATGTTTTATTGTGTTAGGTCTTTGTCTCATTTGTTTCCTTTTAGTCGTTCTGATTGAGTTAAATATTTTGGTGTGGAGTAAAATAAGAATATTGTTAATAACTATCTTTCAAAATCAATATAATCCGTTACAACTCATACTTATATGTGAAGTGGAATAACACAATTGTAATATAAATGAATTTAAGAGTATATTACTTACTTGCTGCAAATATTTATAACGCCCAACTCAAGTTAAATGGGCCAGCCCTAGAGAGTTTCGGGCTAGCCCTAACGGGCTTCGGTTTAAACGGTCCAGGCTTAAAAAGCCCTGATTTAAACGGGCTACCAATAAAAAGCCCTAACCTTGTTTTTTTCCGGGCTAAACGGGCCGGCCCGTCTGGCCAAGGACCATTTAACATCTCTAGTCCTCCTTAAGAAACAAAGGATTTGTCTGCTATAGAAAAGTTCTTGGGATGCAAGTTGATTTCCGGATCATTATCATAAAAATTAAAATAAAGTTTGTCCTAAAATTATGTTTTCAGAATAATTATTGACTCACTAGTTTACTACTCCCTCCTATTCATAATAAATGTCGTTTTGAGAAGTTGCACAGTTATTAAAAATATTCTTTTTGCCAATAATAACCCTCATTAATGAGGATATAGATGAATATTTTGAGAAAAGATGAAGACTGAATATGAAAAAACGTAGTGTATTTATTAGCTATATGAGGGTAATAATGGAAAAATATGTACAAAATATCTAAAATGACATTTATTTTGTTAATAGTTGATAATGCCAAAATGACATTTAAAAAGAATAGGAGGTAGTACTAGTTTTTAGTTAAAGTAGAGATAATAATTTCATTTTAAAAATAAAAAATTGACACCAATCCCCATTGAATGCCTAGATGCTAGCGCAGTGTGCTGTTTGTATTCAGCTGTAGCTGTGGTGTATATATATATATATATATATATATTCAGTATATACAACTAAGTACAAGAAGCAGAGTAAAAGGTAACGAGAAAGCCAAACTCAAAAAGGTCTCTCAACTCATCTTTTGTACCTTTTTACTGTAACGTCTAACTTCATCTCCACTTGCACTTTGGTCGCCGTCCGCATCGAAGCTTTGCTTGCACAGCCAATACGAGAAAACCCTTTTGATAGGATCACAAAGTTAGCTGCAATCGGCGCTTGCTTTTGTCTGGCCTTCCAATTCATCTACACATCAGGTGAATTCTTGACTCCAACTAGAGTTCGATTGCAACTAGGGTTTCTGTGAGCAGTTTTGGTGATCTGGGTTTGGTTCCAGCTTCAGCTAGACGTTTTGACAGTTTCAGTTACGGTTATTGGGCCTTTGGTTTTCTCCTTGAATTGATTGTTCATCTGTTGGTTCGACTCGATCTTTCGGCCGCAGAAGGGCTTTGTTTGTTGATTGCTTAGGTTCTTTTGCTTTAGTTTGTTTGTGTTTTGCGTTGTTAGGTAGGACTTGTGTTTTGGTCTGGGCCGTTGACCTCTGTGTTGCCCGAATGTTAGTGAGTATTACTCTGTTGGGGCCGTTTTTCTCTCATTCTCCTCTTGGGAGCTTTTAAGTGTCTGTAGTGTGTTGAGCTCTTGTTTGTTGTCGAGTGGATTCTAGCGTTGCTAGTTTCAATTTTAGGCGGTCTTCTATCTTGTCCTTCCAGTTTATTCAACCTGAGGCTGTACTTTTGTACTTTTGTGCATTTATATATAAAACTCTCAATGATTTTGAAAAAAAAGAGAAATTCTACTGGAAGACCTAACTTTTAGTATATGTATTAATATAAGGCTTGAATTTTATACTTTTCAACTGAAGACTTACACTTTAGGTTATTCTCACTTTAAGGCTTACTTTTGAGCTAACTTTTCATTATAAGGCCCAACTAACTTTACTTTTTTCATATAAATATGTAAAACAATTATTATATGAATAAAAGTTTTATTATTATTATTATTACTATTATTATATTTTACATACTCATAATAATAAATAAATAAATATCTTTAGTAAAATTATATTAATAAAAATAAAACTATATAAATTACAATGATAAAACATTGGAATTACAATTATGAGAAACTAAGATAGTAAAATTATATTAATAAAAAATGAAACTATATAAACATCTATTTTCAATGATGTAATTTTTCTTTTTTTTTTTTTCCGAAATGATAGGAATAACTATTGAAAACAAAGGGAATACAATGTTCAGATACAATATACAACCCAACTAAAGAGAAACATGAGAGACACGTCCAAGACGGTCTAAAACCTCAACTAAAACCTCAAAGCCTGAACTAAGCAACCAAAGCAAAACAAAGGAAAAATACTTCCACCCACTGCAAGAGCCTAGCCAGAAGAACTAATCCCAGAGAAACAAAACAAAAACCAGACTGCAAGAAAAGAACCAAACCAAGAAACAGAAAAACTAAGAAACTGCAGAGGAAAATTCCAGCCAGTCCAAATGAGCCATTCTAACAAGAACCTGCTCCGGGATCATGGTCTTTTGAAAAATCCAGATATTCCTGGACTTCCAAAGCCACCAAAGCAAATATGTAGATAACTGTATGCGTGCTTCAGCCACCTCAGAAGATTCCAACAAACAGAGTTGATACCACCAGTCTGGGAAATGATCAGACCTATCCTTTATACCATCCCACTGAACTGGATAGATGTCCCATCATCTCTTTGCTCTTGCACAGTTTAAAAACAAGTGCTCAATAGTTTCTGGTCCTTCCCCACACATAGGACAAGTAGTATCCAGAACCAACCCTCTTTTCAAAAGCTGCACAGCCACTGGAATGGACTTGTTCAGATATTTCCAAAGAAAAAATTTTATTTTACCTGCAATCTTGAGTTTCCAAAACCTGAGTTTGGTTCCTTGCTTGATTGTTAGTGCATTACTACTTTCAGGAGGATCCTCTTTCAATAGTTTAGAAGCAGACATGTGCTTGTAGGTACTGGAAACAGAGAATGTGCCTTTCTTGTCCAACCCCCAGAAGACTCTATCACTTCTATTAGCATTAAGAGTATTGATTTGCAGAATTGCTTTGCTTTCAGTCTCATCAAACACATGATTAATCAACCACTCATTCCATTGGTTACCACTTGTGAGCAGCAAATCCTTAACCCAGACTAGATGACCTCTTGCAATGGAGATTAAGGAGGGTGCAGGCTTTAAGAGCTTAGGGACCCAGTTAAAGTCTTCAATTCTGGTATCAATACCATTTCTGATCTCAATTCTCATCCACTTAGCAAAAATGGGCATGGAGTCCATCCAGCTGTTCCACATCCAACTACTCCCTTGGGATTTCTGTGCATGAACAATGGATGAGTGTGGAAAATACCTGTCCTTAAGGAGTTTTCTTACTAGAAGATCAGGGTTGGTTGCCACTCTCCACAGCTGCTTGCAGATCATAGCTTTGTTGAATAGCTACAGATCAAGGAATCCCAAACCACCATGCTGCTTTGGGAGAGATAACCAACTCCATTTTTTCCAATGGATGCCCTGTAAGTGTTCTGCATTTGTCTTCCACCAGAACTGAGCACATAATCTTGAAATTTCATTGCATATGGATACTGGGATCTTGAATCATGACATTGAGAAAATAGGAAGTGCTTGAATGACAGCCTTTAGCAACACCTCTTTGCCAGCCGTGCTAAGAAATTTTGATTTCCAACTTTCAAGCTTGTTTTTAACAGAAGTAAGGAGATAATCAAATACTTCCCTTTTAGCCTTACCAATGCCCAGGGGGAGGCCTAGATATCTGGTCGATCTGTGGGCTGTGATGCCGTTCAGAATAGCACAAATAGAAGCTCTGAGACGCTGAGAAGTATTCTTACTAAAATAAATAGCAGATTTCTGCAAATTAATGGCCTGCCCCGAGAAAAGCCTATACTGCTCCAAAAGATTCAGAAGAATAGTAGCCTGATCTGTCCCAGCTTTGCAAAAAAATAGGGAATCGTCTGCAAACAACAAGTGAGAAAGCACTGGACCATTTCTAGATATTTTCGTCCCTTTCCGCATACTAGTATTTAGAGAGTTCACCACCAAAAAGCCCAGCAACTATAATAAAAAGGTAAGGGGACAAAGGGTCCCCCTGCCTTATTCCTCTTGATGGTGTCACATATCCGCTGAGGGAACCATTGATTTTAAAAGAGAAGGAGGCTGAGGAGACACAGAACAATATAAGCTTCACAAAGTCCAAGTGGAAACCCATCTACAACATTATCTTTTTCAAACACATCCATTCCACTCGATCAAAGGCCTTTATTAAATCCAGTTTTAAAGCCATAAAAAAGTTGGGTCCAGAGGAGTGCCTATTTAAGAAATGGAAAGCTTCCTGACCAATTATAACATTATCTACCAACTGTCTATCCTCCACAAAAGCTGCTTGATAGGGATTGATGCATTGAGATAAGCAACCTTTAAGTCTAATAGCCAGAATTTTTGAAATTATCTTGTAAACCACACTGCATAGGCTTATAGGTCTGAAGTGACCCATAGAATCAGGATTTGAAGTTTTAGGAATCAGAGAGATAATAGAGTGATTCCAGTATTTGAGGATATTACCTGTCTGAAAGAAGCTGAGGACAGCAGCCATAAGGTCCTTTTTAATAGTGCTCCAAAAGTGCTGGTAAAATGCTGCTGTCATGCCATCCTCTTCAGGAGATTTATCTGGATGCAAGCTGAATAGAGATTGTTTCACTTCATCTTCCTCCACTGGTTTAATTAAGTCTTTGTACATTTCCTCAGTTATGGAGGTGGGTATTAGATGCAAAAT